TAATAATAATAATAATAATAATAATAATAATAATAATAAAATAATAATAGTAATAATAATAATAATAATAATAATAATAATAATAATAATAATTGTTCTACCAAAATAACATTTTATTTGTTTATTGATTAATGAATAAACGAAAACACATGAAAATTGTTTTATTTATTTAGTTAGCTTTATGATTAATTACATAAGTAAAATTTTTGTAAATACAAGTACATAATAATAATAATAATAATAATAATAATAATAATAATAATAATAATAATAAAAATAATCGTAAATATTTTTTTTCAGATAATATTAATTTGTTTGTTTAGCTTAACTTTGTTAGGTTTTTGATTTATTACAAATTAATTATGTTAAATACAAGTACATAATGATTGTTTTATTATATATTAATTCTAAGCAAGCTCACTTTATTGTAATTTTTATGTTTTATTTTTATTATTCATTTTACATATGATACCAATACTGACTAAAAATTAAAACCCTCACTGGTCAACCACTAGTTTACATCACGTTTAAGACAAATCAAAGGTCAACAATTGCAAAATACTCTAAACCAGACAGTCATTGCGCATGCTAAAGTTTTGAAATCTATGAGGACAAAGTTAAACACAAAAGCCACCACAAGTTTGACAAAAACATGTACACAATATTGCACCCTGTAAAAAATATCTGTTAATTAACAGTTTCCATATTTTGTGATTCACAAAAGTGTTTTCCGTTTATTTACGGTTGTGAATTGCATTATGGGAGCTTGATCTCTGCTCTGCCCACTTTTTATGCCAAAAATTAAACTCTACAGTTTAACAAAGTGACTTTCATTGACATTCTAGCAGTTTGAAATATAATCATGAAGAAATAATATATAGTGAAATAAGTCTGTAAAATACCAGAAAATAAACCGGCAAAAGATTTTTATACTACAATATACAAAGCCCAGACTCATTCTGAATACATAGCCCTGTACACATTTGTGAAGAGCACTTTCTTGTTTTCGCAAATCCACCAGAGGCCGCTGTGTACGCTTTTTGAGATCTCAAATTTCTCTTGTGAGTGTCATTTGAGCCTGCTTTTCTCACATAAATCCACCAAAGGTCGCTGTTGACTGACTGCCTGACCGATCCCCTCACCAACCCTCTTCTCTAAACCCAACCGATAGTGTTTTCAAAAGCACCGATTGACCCGCCCACCCACTTCCCTAAACCGACAGTTTTAAGAAGCAATACAGAAAAAGAAAAGCCCTAGCCTGATTTTTTACCACGTTTTCAAATTTTACCACATTCTCACCCTGTTATTTACTTGCTTATTTTATTTTTGGCTTTTGTTTTTGTCTTACCTGCTTTCTAGAACCGTTCTTCGCCAGACTCGAATGCCGTTGTCATGGTCAAATCCTCTCTGTATCTCAAATTCGCTGATGTACATGGCGAGCTAACCGGACAAACTAGTAACAGCGTAAAAGCAGTCCACACGGAAGTAAGCGGTTAGCTGGTAAGCACGAAAAGGAATGATGTCATACCGCCCCGTAGCGTTTGCCTTAAAGACGAAATGCAGCCATACGTACTTCTGGCTACATAACTCGAGATCTCCAGGAATGTTTACAGGGCTACATTTTCAGAATGAGTCTATGTTGAATATACCACACCAACCCAAACGATATATATCCCTTTAAACTAATAAATATGTCAATAAAAGTCACCTTTCCAAACTTTTCAAGGTTACAAGTTGTTGAAAGAAAGATCAAGGTCAAGTAATGCAATTCAGAAGCTTAAACAAATGGGGAAAATAAAAACATGCGTCAAAAAAAAAAAAAAAAAACTCGAAAAACTGCAAATTTACGCATGTTTTTCAGTAAAATTAGTAGTAAACAGTGAGACTCACCGTTGTGCACACGCTGGCTGTTGTCCGTGTCGCTGCTGGTCTCAGGCTCTTTTCCATCAGACGGTGTTTGGGCTCCGTTCATCCCTCCTGGGTCTTTATTCCCCTCTTTTTCTCTGGGCTGCTGCTCTGTGGGCTCCTTGTTGTCGACTTTAGCTTTACCGGAGTCCTCTTGATCTGTCTTTGAATCCTTCTCTGGTCTTGTGTCTTCCTTCTGTTTGTCTGGAGATTTGGCGTTTGAGTCTGTGTTGATTTTGTCTTCTGTTTTAGTATTGTCGTCACTGCTCTGCGTGTCCGTGTCCTTTTTCTTTTCGTTCTCCTCCATTTCTTCCTGTTTGGCCTTTTCTTCTAGATCTAAGACACACAAATTAGTTGTGTTGGATATAGTGACAGGATATAGTGTCAGTATTGGGCTTCTTTTTTGGATGCAAAATAGCTCAAAGAATAATTACTGTTCATAGGATTACTGTTCAGATCGTACATATACAGTTACATTTCAATTATTTCATATTTGTTCCCAAATTTAAATTTCTACACATTATAGTTTTATTACTTCATTTCTATGAACTGATTTCTTTAATCTTTGACATGATGACAGTACATAATATTTGACCAGATATTTTTCAAGATACTAAAGTTCAGCTTACAGTGACATTTAAAGGCTTAACTAGGGTAATTAGGCAAGTCATTGTATACAATGGTTTGTTCTGTAGCTAATCGAAAAAATAAATATAGCTTGAGGTTGCTAACAATATTGACTTTAATTTTTTGAATTTAATTTTTAATTTAAAACTGTTTTTATTTTAGCAAATAATACTTTCTATAGAATAAATTTTTTTATAGGCAATACTGTGAAAAATTCCTTGCTCTGTAAAACACCATTTGGAAAATATTTAAAAAATAAAATAAAATAAAAAAATCACAGGGGGGCAAATAATTCTGACTTCAACTGTACATTACTACCATCGAAAATGACTGTTTATTAATCTATTTACTTTTCTTTTTATATTTAAATATGATTTAAAATGTAATTTAATCCACTGATGCAAATTTGAATTTTCAGCATCGCTACCCAAGTCTTCAGAGTCCTCCTCCTCCTTCTTCCCTAAACCCAAGCAATGATTTACAAAAGCCATGCAGAAAAAGAAAAGCCGCATTCTCACCCCGTTACAAACTTGTTCGCTTTTTTTTGGGGATTTTTTTTTGGATTATTTACCTGATTTCTGGAAACGCTCTTTCACAGACTCGAACCCGGTCTCGAACTTGCCCGGCTCCTCCTCCTCCAGGCCTCCGCTCCGTCGGCGTAACACGTCGAGCTAACCGGACAGACTAGTTGCAGCGGGAAAGGCCTCCACATGGAGGAGGCGAGCTGTCAGCCCAGCCGGCGAGCGTGAAGAAGAGGAGCGGCGTCACACCGCCCCGCGTTCACTTTAAAAAACCAAATGCGGCCATACGTACCTCCGGCCACGTAAATCACAGTCTCCAGAAACATCCACCAGAGGCCTGAGATGTAGAGGCTACGTTTTCAGAATGAGCTTGGGTTGGATCAATCAGAAATCATTCTTAAATGCTAATCTGCACATAAATCATATTTTATCATAATCAATTTTTAAAGCAGATGTGCTTTGATGAATACTAACGTCATAATTAAACATTAAAAATGCATTCATTCTCATTTTTGGCCTATTTATAGTGCCTTTCTGAATAAATGTAATATTGTTAACCAAAATCAACTACTTTGTACATTAATTATTAAATTTATAAATGTAATAAATTTTAAATACTATTTCCTATATGTTTAAGTTCTTTGAAAGAATGCAACAAACATAATTTAAAAAGATATAATTAGTTAAAGAGAATATAACAAACACAAGACAAGACATTATAATATATTACAATATTATAAAAAATATATATATTATTATTATTATTATTATTATTATTATTATTTATTCATTTTCTTTTCAGCTTAGTCCTTTTATTAATCTGGGATTGCCACAAGGGAATGAACTGCTAACTATTCCAGCATATGATTTACGCAGCGGATGCCCTTCCAGCCACAACCCATCACTGGGAAACATCCACAAACACTCATTCACACACACGCATTCATTATGGTCAATTTAGCTTAACCATTTCATAGCGCATGTCTTTGGACTGCGGGGGAAACCTGAGCACCTGGAGAGACCCCCACCAACATGCAGAGAACATGCAAACTCCAAACAGAATAGCCAACTGACCCAGCTGAGGCTCGAACCAGTGACCTTCTTGCTGTGAGGCGAATGTGCTACCCAGTGAGCTGCCTATTATTATTATATAACATGTTTTGAGTTGGCGGTTCATTCTGCTGTGGTGACCCCAGATTAATAAAGGGATTAAGCTGAAAAGAAAATGAATGAATGAGTGTTTTGAGCTAAAAAAAATAGTTTGGTTGACTTTCAGGTTCTCTTTTGGTCAAAAGTCAGCAAAACGTCTTTCGGATGAGACGTTAAACCGAGGTCCCGACTCTCTGTGGTCGTTAAAAATCCCAGGATGTCCTTCGAAAAGAGTAGGGGTTTAACCCCGGCATCCAGGCCAAATCTGCCCACTGGCCTCTGTCCATCATGGCCTCCTAACCATCCCCATATTCCAATTGGCTTCATCGCTGTCTTCTCTCCACCAATCAGCTGGTGTGTGGTGTGCGGTCTGGCGCAAAATGGCTGCCGTCGCGTCATCCAGGTGGATGCTGCACACTGGTGGTGGATGAGGAGATTCCCCCCATTGTGTGTAAAGTGCTTTGAGTGCCCAGAAAAGCGCTATATAAATGTAAGGAATTATTATTATTATTATTAATTTCTTTTTACTCATCATCAGTTTCAGCTGTCATGAACTGCACAAATATGAATAGAATTCATAGTAGTCGACTGAAAGTGGATGTAATCTCGACTTAATACTATTGCTAGAAAACATTTCTCTGAAATGCTAAAGTTTTCCTCTGAGAAAAAAATAAATCAGCCCGCACAGTCATGATTTAATATTACAACACGCTTTATGTAGGAAATCTGTGCTAAACAGAGATCGAGAGCTATGCTGTGAAGATTTACGCTTGTTTATCTGTTAAGCCTGAGCTCTTGAATCGTTTTTTTTTATTATATTGAATTCATTTATTTTCCATAAGACGGTATTTCTAGGAGTAGATTTTTAGAGAAAATATGAATGTAGTTGTTATTGAATTCCAGCTTATTGCTATATGATCAATCGGGTTTTCTATGTGGTTTCTAACACTTCTTTACTGCCTAAATACATAAAATACTTAAGCAAAATTGAAGCATTAAAGGTGTCATGAACTGAGAAGTCAAAATAGAGTTCAAGTAATTTTTTTTAAATATTTCTTAAGTGTAATTTATTTATAAACTAATTTCAAGAGGATCACGTGCTTATGATTGAACACAGCTGGTCCCGCATTATCCAATTCAAGATTCACTAATCAGATGATTTCTAAGTCACTATAAATACTCTAAGTTCCATTTAACTGCAATCTTCTTTTTGAAGAAACCCCTTTCTCCGCCTCTACTCCTCCTCCTTTTCTAGATGGGTGGCACGGTGGCCCAGTGGTTAGCACTGTTGCCTCACAGAAAGAACGTCACTGGTTCTAGTCCTTAACAAGCCAGCTGACATTTCTGTGCACAATTTACACGTTCTCCCTGGGTTCACATGGGTTTCCCCCAGGTTTCCTTCCATCGTCAAAAAACATGCAACTTAAGTTAATTGACTAATTAAAATCTGCACCATTGACATGCTCTTAAGTAGTTATCTCTTAAAAGCAATCACTATCTGTTCATTAGTTACTACAGCAGGGGAGTTCTCGAGATTTACCTGAGCTCAAACTCCCCTCTTGCCTTGCAAACGGGAGGGAGCCCCAGGCTCGAGTATCTTATGACCTCAGGGCTCTCTCCTGGGACAGCATGCCAAACAATCTTTATAATCAATTATCAGCTAAGTGTGAACTCCTGCAATGATGTTTAACAGAGCAAGGGATTTGTCACATTACTTTGCTATATTATGTTTTCTCCTGGAGACAGTTCTATTTGTTTAATTTTGGCTAGAAAAAAGCCGTTTTTAATTGTTTTAAAATCATTTTAAAAGTCACTATTATTTGCTGCCCTTAAGCAATATTTGTTTTCAATTCTAGTGTTGTCACGATACTGGAATTTGGTACCAATCGATATTGAAATTTTAAAAACGTTTGCACGGCAAATGTGACCTCATGGCTGAGTATGGGGAGGTTCGCTTTGAGTGTCGCAACATGATTTCAGCCAGCGAAGCACATGTTTTTTTTTTTTTTTTGAGATTCGAGTGAACAGTTCACGTGGTGCCACGTTTGATTTGAGTTAAATGTGAATCATTTTGAAGAGATTTTGTCAGAACAGTACGCCTGTACAGACATCTTTATGATCTGTGATCATGGAGAGAACCAGATGATCAATCATTCTTAGCTAGAAATTGCAACAGCCATGAGATAAAAGGAGTAAAGTTTTTGTTAAAAGGTTTGGAAAAACATGAGGGATACGTTTGTTTATGCCAAAAGAGGTCATGGGAAAAGTGGAGACCCAGGTACACAATTAAAGAATATGTTTTTCCACCAGTCATAGCTTTTACACTGATGTATATATTAGCCTACAATTTAGAATTCAAAACAATTTAATAGTTACAAAGCTATAATTAAGGAACAGATTTTTTCTTTCAAAAACTGGAAAGGAATATTTAACCCTGTTGGTTTACAATATACTGATGCCTGTTTTTCTAGGCTTTATTGGTGATAATGGTCAGGAATGTTGGACCATTATTGCCTTTTGGCATGAGTATATGACAGAAACTAGCCAGACAGAAATGTGTGAATTGTGGAGCGCGCTAAATCTAAAAAAACATCTGTATTCTTTAGTAAGTGTACTTTTTTTAACTTTTATTCTTGTCATAATAAAAATATATTTGTAGATCAACTCATGTTCTGTCATCATTAATATTTTAATAAACTTTAATAGGTAAAACTGTCCGAGATATGAATAAAAGCAAGTGATGCATCAAAGTTTGATTTAAAAAAAATCTTGAATGGTAATAAAAATCCTTATAATCATTAAAATAATTTTTAATAATAATAAAAACAATTAGTTTAAAAATATTGAATGATATTAATGATATGACGTAGTTCCGGAAACTTTCAACTTCTCTGTTTATCCATCTGATTTTACAGTGGGTTTCTTTTGACCGGCCCCTGTCATTTAAAGAAAATCACAATAGCGAACGCGGCAAGTATAAAAACCTCATCCATTTTGCAAGGTGCGCATGCAGTCAGCGGAGGTGTGCGATGCAGCGCCCAGCGAAAGTATATATCCAGCTTAAAACAGCGCTGATTTGCCATTGTGTTCACATGCTCAACAGAAATAACTGTGATTGGCCGTGAAGGTCCTCAGTTCACCGAACTAACTGCTCTTTAGAGTGTAACTACAGATACAGCGACACTGGAGCATTTCAAAGTCACGTCGATCAGCATACGACACACGAGTGATCCGCTGATGAATCGTTTTAAAATGCTCCAGTGTCCCCGTATCTGTAGTTACACTCAGTAAACAATCCAGTGAACCGATGACCTTCGCGGCCAATCACAGTCATTTCTGTTGAACATGCGAACACAATGGCAAATCAGCGTTGTTTAAAAACTTGCTAACCAGTGCTCAAATGTTAGCGGGAAATGGAGGTTTTAAAATTTCAGTATCGATTGGTACCGAATTGACAACCCTGTTTACTGAACAAAGCATCATTATGCAATGACTTGCCTAATTACCCTAACTTGCCTAATTAACCTAGTTAAGCCTTTAAATTTCAATTTAACCTGAATTCTAGTATCCTGAATAATATCTAGTAAAATATTATGTACTGTCATCATGGCAAAGTTAAAATAAATCAGTTATTAGAAATGAGTTATTAAAACTATTATGTGTTGAAAAAAATCGTAAAACAGAAATTGGGGAAAAACATACAGGGGGATATTAATTCTGACATCAACAGTATGTCCATTTTATTTTATCTTATTGTATAATAAAACATCTTGTAATTTTCAGGATACAAATCTTCAACAAGATCCATGCCTGCTTCTACATTACTGTCTGTTTAGCTCCGCCCACCAATTTGCTCTTTAATAGACAAATAAAAAAGTCAAAGGCGGCTCTACACAAAAACCAAACGCTAAAGATGATGCTTTTTTAATCTTAAGCAAAAAAACCTTTAGTCAAGTTCTCTTGTCTAGATATGAATGTATTTATCTGAGAGTGTGTGCGCGTTCATACCTTTGGCGGCTTGTGCTTTCCATTTTTCTCGGTTTTTATGTACTTCCTCATTCCAGGTGCTTTTGAAGGTCTTAAAATCGACAGCGTTTATGGAGCTGTTGACAGAAGTGCCGCCCTCTGAACCAGTGCTTCTCACACTGGACCGTTTACCATCAGACGGGATGTTATTCAGACTGCACAAACACACACACACAGACAGAGAGAGAGAGAGGGAAACGATTTATTTAGCTTTCAGTTAATGTTTGTCTTTGGATTATACGGAAATACATCACTTTTATGTGTGATGTCATTAGTTGTCAAGATGATGAAGGACACTAAGTGTTTCCGTTACTAGATTTAGGATGTGTGTCTGCTGGCACAAAATACTACGGTACTCACCTGACATAACAGTGAGAGGCACAATGATTAGCTCTCGAGTAAACTAAAATATTTTTAAAATATATTCCAAGTAACATTTTATAGAGTATGGGATTTTTTCCCCTCGCTAATAGTTTTTTTTAGAAAATACAATAAAATTAAATAAATATCATAAGTCCACTTAATAATTTGGCTGGAATGAAAGTCGTTAATATTATTTGCCAAATGAAGGTTGAATGTTTTGAACAGCCATTGATAAAATAAAATAATATAAATAACACTAAATAAATAAATAAATAAATAAATAAATACAATATTATTAGCCCACTTAATAATTTGGCTGGAATGAAAGTTGTTAGTATTGTTTGACTACTTTCGTTTTTCTTCAATTGGATTTAGAGCACACCACAGTTGTACATTGACTAAATTAAAGAGATGGCTCACCAAAAAATTTAACTTCAGTATATTTTACTCATCCTCTATTTTTTTAAACCTGTTTGAGTTTCTTTCTTCTGTAGAACACAAAATAAGTTATTTTGAAGAATGTTTGAACAGCCATTGACTTTTTTTTTGTTGTTTTTTTTTTAGTATTTTTGATTCCTACTATGGGTGTCAATGGCTTCATCGTTCTAACATTCTTCATAATATAGTTCTTAAAAGAGTGAAAGGTCAGGAAATGTAAATTATTTTTGGGTGAACTATCCCTTTATATTTCTCTAAATAACCCTGAAAAGTATTTATGATGGCAGTACTTGTTATTTATTCATTTTGTATTATTTTACCTAATTAATTTTTTAAGTTTATATTATTTTTTTTAAATTATCTTATCAGTAATGGGTTAAATTTTTTGGGAAGGGTTTGTTCTGTAAAAAAAAAGAAGAAAAATCCTAAATGAAAAAGTCAAAAAATTTGCTCTTATTAGCATTTATATTAATTACACTTTAAAGTGCTAGTGATGTCCTAATTATGCTAAAATATCATGAAAATAAGCCAAAGCGTAAATTATGTTATTTCAATACTGCGGCATAGAAAAGTAATTTTATAATTAGCAATTCCTGAGCACAAATCAAAACATATTTACCATGATTTATAGAAAACACTCACAAAAATGTCATTCAGTTTAACAATAGTTCATGATAAGTCATATTTACAACATCCCTTTCAATTTGTTTTCACCTGGAGCGCCTGAATCCAGCCAGGCCGGCGGGTGAAGCCTCTTCGATTAATGGAGTCATGATTTTCTCAATCATGTCTGTCAGCACAGTGAAGGTTGGCTCCACGATGAAATCAATGAAACCTGTTGGGGAAAACAGCATCAGAATACACGGATGTGGGAATCACATATCAATCATTCAATCCACACACTTACTGTATGCCTGATCACTCACCGATCTGAGACTGAGCCACCATTGTAGACTTGCGGTCACATAAAGGAGAGAAAGGAAGTCCGAGCTCTGCCTCCTTATCGCCCTGGAACATTCATTAGAAGAGAAGCAGCACCAATTAGCACCAACATTATTATTATAATTATTATTATTATTATTATTTATCTATTTTATTA